GGAGCCAAAATCCTTAGATATTTTAGGACTCTTTTTAGACATTTTTAGACATTTTAGACATTTTTAGACTCTTTTCTAACAAGAATCACTAATTACATGCCTTCTCCTCTTTAGAGACAGACAGGAATTTCTTCCATAGAAATTAATACATTGTGAGGAAAAAAAGCACTTGTGATCATCTAGGTTCATCTGCTGTTTTACACTGGCCAAAGAAGAGACTTATTCCTTGCTGAATACTTCTTTTACTCCTTGAGGAAGAAAGCTGTACGACTCATGTTTCAACTACAGAACATGCTAAAAAATGCAGCATCAATTTGCATGTTGAAGTGACTGAAGATTCACCCACAATATGCCCAACTGTTACTTACCACCCCTTGACTGACTGTCAAAATATGGGCCAATTTCTTGGCTAAATTTGCCTAATTGTGGCTTTCAGCCACCAGTTCTTGTAAGGCCTTTGCCTGCGTGGGTAAACACCTTTCTGTTCTGAGGAATCCTCTCCCAGGCCGTAGAGGGATCTCAGGTCAGGCAAGATGCTCTGAGTACAGCCGAGCCATGCTGTGCGCGAGGACACCGGCCTGCCTCCCCGGGGAGCGGGGACGGAAGGAAGACACAGGACTCTGTCATTCAAACTGACCCGCACACCTGGACTCTTGCCCTCTTGTGGGCAGTGCGCAGAGCAGGAGGCTGCTCGTACATCTCCTCGAAACCTCAGTGCCTTTTGTCCCCTGCTGCCATCACATCAGAGTGCAGATACCTTTGCTCACATGTGTACAGTCCCAGGGTAACTCCTGGGCATTTATATACTGCTTTTAAGGACAGATGGACGGGGTCGTAGCCTAGGTTTAAATTAGCTTTCCCTACTAACTCCTTTTTGAAGCCTTTCTCCAACTGTCAAAGGTAGCCCCCTTTTGTCTATAAATCACCAGTGCCTGATGTCCTGCCAGAAGTAGTTTGGGGACATTTTGTAGAATAACTGGAAAAAAATTTTTGAGACAGGTTTGTGTTTAGAATAGAATAGAATAGAATAGAATAGAATAGAATAGAATAGAATAGAATAGAATAGAATAGAATAGAATAGAA